CAAAAATGTACATTACTGCTATAGGTGATAGCCACTATATATGATAGAGGATTATTTAAGAGTGATTGTATTGAATGAGGGAAACCAGAGAAAACTCAAGCTACAGTAAAGTCATCTTTGATATTGTTTAACGTTTTCTATAGTTGTAGTGATTCATATCTTTTTAGCCATGTATCATGAACAGAGAAGAATATATCATCAAATAGGAATGATAATAAACCAAAGGTAAGTTGTTTATTATTAGTGATCGTATTAAGAAAGTTGAAGAAACAATCCCTTTTAATAGGTCAATAAAATATAAATTATTATTTATTAAGTTGCAATCCTATATTGGAGATTGATTCACATAAATAACTGGTATATCGTTATTAGATCTATTAAGTTCTTTTAAATGAGATATGAATGATTATTTATGCTCTTGTATAATATTCATGAGAGATTTATTGTTATTAGAACAAATCCAAATGTGATTAAAGTCTTCAGTTATTGATTGATAATGAAAACCAGTTATTCGAGATATAGATCTGAGAATATCAAGCATTCATTATTGCCAAAGTGGAAAGTAGTTGTAAAAGCAATTTGATTTTGAACTGTTTCTTTTACAGGCATCAAATGATGTAACCCTAGTATTTTCTGAATCATTAAAAACATAAAATAATATTTGCCAGTCAATGTAAAAATTGTTGTATTTAGTAAGATGTAGGAGAATTAGGAAAGCTTCAGCCTAAAAGGCTTATTGCAGGTGTTTGATAAATAAGCGAGAAGGAGTAATAATTGGTGTGTGATTGTAACATAAAGTATATTTAAGATTCAGATAATTACTATTGATATGTAAAGGAGCACTAGTAATCTATTTTGCTAATAGGTTAATTTGATTATTGAAATGGTCATTTTCGTAAACTTTGACTTTGGTGAATATTAATTTTATATTGTGAGTGGCTATAAGATGCAACATAGTCATCCAAATATGAAAGTATGAGATCTTGAATGTAAGATTGAGAGAAGCAGATATCTCATAGAGTGTTATAATCTTATTATATGAAGCGATTGCAGCTTAGAAATTAATACAGATTTTAATATTAGCGTTGGGAAGTAATGTATATACAGTAGCAAGGATAGCAATTATTTCTGTTAAAGTAAAGGAAGGAGAGTGTGATATAAGTATGATATTAAATGAGAACGAGGGCCAATTCTGGTCAGTTTATAACCAAGTGATTCCTATCTGGCAATTAGAAGATCCTAAAGATGTAAGGGAACTATTTGTATAGAATTGAAGGAAGTTAGCATTGAAACCGGTAGAAACTAACAGACCTGTCGAATATGACATATATGCTAAATCTGCCAAATCTGCTAAATCTTC